TTTTTACTTCATTACCCTTCAAGCCGTCTCCAGCCATTATTAGTCTCAAAGTGGGTTCCTCGTCATCGAATAGGGATGAAATGTTAGAAGGTGCACACCATGTTCTATCATTTCATTGCCAGGTTGATCTTCAAAAAAACCTTCATCAACTAATCACCACCCACTAATTGTATCAGAAATTAAATAATTTATTGATATATTCTTTACATAACATTTCTAACAGAAGAACTCCGATTATGAATTGAAACAGTTTAGTTTATTTGCACGTTACAATGTGGTTGTCTGTGGATAAAAGAATAAGACTTCTCTAGTTTTAATGACAGATAACGCATACGACACAACTGAAAATAGTAGCTAACTACTAGGTGGGACATGACAAGGAATGTCTGGAGAGCAATAATCTAAACATTATCATTTATTTTGTACAAACTCTTTCATAGTTAGTGATTCGGAATTTATCATTTCAAGTTTATTATTACCATATACAACGGCACCTAAAGAACAAATAATAAACACGGTAAAGGATGATGAAACACCATAAATAATACAAAGGAAATAGGTTTTTGTAACCTTCAAACTTTCTCGACAACCAGCATATCAAAAAAATTTTATCTGGAAGAGATGATCAAAATTTTAAAGTAAAAACTGGTTTTGTATGTTGTTTAAGTCAAAGAGAATAATTTTTTTGCAAAGACACCATCCTTTTCATCATAATCTACATTAAAATATATATATACATTTTTCATTAAACCTTCTAACATTAATAAAGATTCTATTGAGCAGCAGACAGCATAATTAATTACAAGTCTAATAAAAAAAAAAGAGGTTTTCTATTATCAGCAATTTTTTTTTAGGATTGTCAATAAGACTTCTGAATAAGATCTGGGTAAAATTTTATGAATTACACTCCCAAGTTTCTGTATTTTAATCTCAGACATCATTTCATGCTCACTGGGATAGGAAAAAAAATAGTTACAATACTCAATTAATTTCTCCTCTGCCGACGAGGAATATCTTCAACCACTAGGCAATTGCAGACGATGTCGTACACTGCACGGTTATGATTGAAGAAAAACACCGTTAAGCTTGCAGGGAAAAAGAAGGCCATGGAAAAATTCTTGACGAAGGAACGAATAAATGACCTAAGAGGATAGAAACAAGAATGTTCAGAAAATAGGGCAAATAGCAAAACAATGTTTCCATTGTTTATAATTTAAATCATTGTATCTTGATATCCATTTTTAGTTTTATGACAGTGATACAGCTCTTAAAGGTCTTATACAACCATAGAGAGCATAATTTAAACAAGTTGGTATCACTGAAGTTACGCACACACGATTCATCCACACAAACTGTGTGTATCATAACACAAAATCATACTGGCAGTTATGTTAATAACTTTATAAGTTTAACTGAAATTAAGTTATTTACATTATTCAATTCCATAACTGCACCTGTATAGGGAGTGTCATACATACATAACTGTAGATGTGCTACTCGTTTCATAAATGTAACTGTATTGTAACACAAACATATATATTCCACCTAGTTTATATCACACACATAAATAATCCCAGTTGTATTATGTTTGTTTGTTTACTTTTAGAGCAAAGTCACACTGGGCTATCTGCTATGTCCACCACAGGGAAATGAACCCTGAATTTCAGTGTTGTAAGTCCATAGACTTATGCTGTCCACCAAGGAGACAGTTGTGTTACGTTAAAAAAACATAACTAATGTAACTTTAGTTGTGTGCTTCAAAAACAAAACTCCAGCTGTATCGTGTCACACAAGCATGACTAAAGTTTAGCCGATCATGATATACAACCATAAACATGAATTAATTAAACAATCAAACAGCATTTAAAGTTGAAATGTGTCAGAACTTTAAGAACTTGTATATGGTAAAATAAGATAATAAAGTAAAATATAACCAAATACAGCTTCAATAAAATGTAATATTCTCTGACTTGTAAAGAAAGAACATGCACAACTGTAAGTCACTCAAAAAACATCACTAATCCTGATCCAAAAATCTTGTTTTATTTTGTGTTTATTTTGAATTTCGCGCAAAGCTCCACGAGGGCTATCTGCGCTAGCCATCCCTAATTTAGCAGTGTAAGACCAGAGTGAAGGCAGCTAGTCATCACCACCCACCACCAACTATTGGGCTACTCTTTTACCTACAAATAGTGGGATTGACCGTCACATTATAACACCCCACGGCTAAAAGGACAAGAGTGTCTGGTGGGACGGGTAATCGAACCCGTGACCCTCAGAGTCAGACTGAGTCGAGCGCCCTAACCACCGGGCCATGCCAGGCCCTTTATTTTGTGTAACACAGTGATTTTTTTTCTTCCTAATTTTCTTTGTACTAGATTTTGGAAACTCATATGTAATGTTATACTTAAAAAAATAAAGAATTTATCACTGTGAAAGAAACTTAGGAAAGAGCAGATTTTTCTCTCTCTTTCTTGTGTTTGAAATATAACCCTCAATGTGAATTCCAAATAAGCTACTTTCACAGTTTTTTTAAAATAAATAAAAAATAGTCAGGAGATATGATAAAAGAAAATACGTGCCTGACATATCAAATATTGGTAGAATATTTTTAGTTTATTGGTTTTTGAGTAGAACCAATATCTGGTTTATTAAAACAATGAACGCGTACAAACGGTACAAGAATTAAAACTTCTATCTCTTTACTTTTTCTCATTTTTGACCATAATGCATTTTCATGAAGTTCATCCACTTTCAACATCATGTTTTGCATTGTTTTATATATATGCTCATTAGTATTTGGGACATACCTGTCCATACTGGATAAAAATAATCACACCAGTGACTAGCTGAGAATTGTCCTTCGAACTATATTAACTGAGTGAGGTCAATGTTAGAGAATTTTACCTACATTATAACGGTGTTTTTTTATGTCTTCAAGAGTGGAGAAAAACCTTTTTTTTAACACGTTTTTTATGACAAAAATAGTGTTTGCGGTTATCTACTTTTTCAGATATATCTATCACTGGGCAGATAGTGATACAAAACTTCTAATGAGAAAATAAATGCTCAAACTCTATAAGATTTTTTATACTCTTAAGTCTATTTTATAGTGGTCTGATGAGAGCTTGTTTAGGTTTACAGACATTCTTGATGTTTACGGTAATAAGATTTGGTCTACGTAAACATTAGACTCTTGACTATATATCGAATGTCTTAAAATGATACGCTGCAACCAAAGAAAGGTTTTAACATTTGGATGAAGATATAATTAACAAAGATTTACATGTGCTTAACCTCTGTTTATCAGCATGGGTACCTGGAGATTTTCACCAAATTACATATTCACTAAGGTGAGTAAATTTTGCTCCACTGCCGTATAACAATTGAAATTAATGTTAAGGTTGTTTTTTTCACACATCACGGATATATTACTTAATCAAGACATACATACAGTGCATACATAACTTTGCTCGTATGTTTGTGCCTGTCTGTTTGTTGCTGAGCACAAAGCTCCATAACACGCTAATTGTGCTGTTCACACCAATGGTGTCGAAACTCAATCTTACCACTTGGGGGGGGGGGGTATGTGTACTTACTAGTGGTAAAAGACAATAAATTAACAAGAGGACTAAAAATAAAAGCATTTATACAATATTAGTATATTTGGTCATTAAATTATTATTTTCAGTCATTAAAACATTACTGCATACAAAATACACAATACAGGTTGGAGATATATATAACAGACTTTACCATCCAAGCCCTATATCACCAGCAGGGATGACCCTTATTCTGTCATTACCCAACTCCTCAATAACTTGACAAGATACCACTCTTAATCCAAAGACACTTTTCCCAGGAGTAGCTCCACCTGGAACTCCAGATCCATGATGGAGACAGACAATCTAGTTCAGGATAATATTCAATGAGACGAAACTTCAATAAATGTACAATACATGACTGGCCAGATACATGACGACCAGTAATATTTGTCTTTTTGTAAACAGATTCACTGAAAAGTAGTGACAATAAAAGGATTTCTTGCAGAGTGACAAGAATACAAAGAATGTTGTGTAACTCGTTTGCCTTTGGCAATCAAACTACAAAACACTACTAAATGTAACTGAAAATTTTCATTTTTTTACTCTACTTTTCATACATACATATCCAGGTGATATTATCTCTAATAGTATTGTTCCATGAAAATAAAATACAAACAAGCTGAGAAAAATTATTAGATTATGTACTAAAAAAAAAATAACACAAACACTCATATTACCAAGTCTTTGCAATTCTAAGCTTACAGGAAACTATAAGCTTTTGTTTAACTTTCAGTTATCTCTAATGATGTTCTAGTATTTTAATACACTATATGTTCTACAGTGTTGTTCAGTAAACCCTTTTAAAGTATACATATAATAAGATAAATACACACAAAATATTCATGGCATCACACTAACATTGAATATCGTAAGTAATGTTATCTCTATTTTTTTTAAATTCATGTGCAGAATGAATTTTTTCATGTGCACCAGTATTAAGGCAATATGCGGATGTGTGCTACCAGTTTTCTTGGGGGGGGGGTTTAGTTCATAGACCCTATTGGATCATTAGTGCGCTTTGCAATGCTACCAGTTGGTTATTTGGGCTTTAGGCCTATCGACTGCCAGGGTTATTAAAGCTGTCAACGTGTTGAGAAGACTCCTCACCATTACTGAGGATGTGTGCATCTGGAATAATGAAGTGTGCGGCACTTGATTGGTTGTTTTGCAGCCACTCAGCTGCACAGCTCAGAGGAAACACTGATCATAAGTAATGTAACGGTACAACTTAAAATAACTTTTAATAAGTATTGACAATGCCATCAGATTTTTAAAAAAATTCTCAGTTAGAAAAATTATTACAAATCAAGGTGTTTTCATTACATATCGTTGGTGCTACAGTACCTCTATATTACAAACTTATACAGTAAAGACTGGGGGCTTGATTACACATAGAATCACTGTTCCTAGACAAGTAAACTGAACTGAAATTATAACACTATACTACTTTATTTTTTATTATACATTAAGTACAGTTTTAGATGAATAAATCTCAGATGAAAAAAGTTTAATTTGGGGGGGGGTGAGAGAAAAGGGGGAATTTCCTTTGATTTTCAACTAATAATATTAATCATGCTTACAGGTTGATTTGATGTTTGTCATACTGGAGGGATTTACACATTTAGATAAAAGGTTTTGAAGAAATGACCTCTATACTCTAGATATATAATGCAGAATTTTTTATTTTAACCAACGTTTCACCTTTGGGGCCTCATCAGAGTTAATATACACAGCTGTTTGATATTAAACCGTTGTGTGTATATTAATCCTGATGAAGCCACGAAGGCGAAACATTGGTTCAAATAAAAAATCCTTTTATATATATATATATATATATATAT